TGAAAAATAAAGCTTCCTGGAAATGAAGCAAAGCTTTTAAGTGGACCTTCTGTAGAATGAAGAATGAGTCCTGGATTCCTGCCAAAGTGCCGGCGCTTCTGTCTCGATACCTGAGGCAGCAAACCTAACAAGAATAAATGCTGCCTCTGTGTGTGTGGAGGAGGCTCTCATGACATTGGTGTTGATGGGTTTTGAGAATGGGTTGGTACCTGTATAGGTCTGGAGAGTAGGTTTCAGACATGCCGGGTGAGGTTATTATTCCGCGTGAGCGGAAGTGGTCTGATTTGTGCCCCAGATGTCGGGGGCCTGCTCAATGTCGGGGACTGTGCTGGGAGCAGAGTCTGTTCTTGCTACTGTAGTGATTTTTGGAAGCAAGTTGTCATGGTTTTAAACTAATAGACATCATTCTTTTTGACTGCAGTTATCTAGCATCCAGCACACAAGAGGTCAATAAATGTGTAGGGCATGTTTGAAGACAATATGGAATTTTTGGTAAGGATGCAAGATTAATTAGAAAGCTGATAGAATCCTGGCAAAGCATGTGGCTAGGTGGTGTAACATGATGTGTTTGTGCCCTAGGATGTCTCTGGCCCTTTTGACCACAGTTCCTGGCAGGATGTTCCCACTTGCCATTATAAGGATGCAAAAAGGGCCATGCCCTTGGATTGTTTCCCCTTGGCTCCTGAATGATAGTTAAGGACCTGACATTTGAAGGTTGCTGTTTTGCCCTCATTTTAGGCACTTTTCCAGTGATTCCTGCTCCATCTCTCCCAACGTTGAGTTAAATCTTTGCACTCCAACTCAAGCACGTTCTCCTTACTGTTGTTGTTCTGGATGACATAAGGACAACCCTTTGAAAAAGAAAAGCTCTCTAGAGAGCCTAGAGAGGTAGGAGGTGTGTGCTTTCCCCCAATAGGAATTAGATGTTTAATATTCAATAAATACTAACGACAGGAAACTATTCTACTTTTCATTAATCTTCTTCAGTAAATTTGTTAAGAATATTCTTAGCCACAGCATCTTTGTCATCTTGGAAACATCTATTGTGAATCATATTCTTGATTTTGTCTTCATGTAGGTACGTGGGCTTTGATGATTCTTTGCCAGAACTCCTGTCCTTCCCTGGCTCCCTGGCCCATAGCATGGGAACGAGTACGGCAGGGTCTGAAAATTAAGTTAGACATTGTTCGTGCTGGTAGATATTTAGGGTGAATATTAAACATGTACACACAGGAAAATGTTTATCAAAAAAGCCATATACATAAAGTGGGAGGATGTACTAGGTGAAATCATATAATTAAATGACAAGGTTCTTAGTTTGAGACTTCAGAATGTTCTGTTGTATACTTTTTAAGCAAATAGCAGACTTTGTCGGAAAGACACATTTGTCTTATGGAGCTCAGTATCTGGAACAAGATAGTTGGTCCTGCAAGGAGCTAAATGACAACTGGAAAGTCATTATGATCCAGAGCAGCACCATCCCACACTTATGGGGGGCTTTCTCATACGTTCCTATGCATTTATGTCATATTCTCTTTGCAAACTGTCTGTCTAGCTGCTGTTGGCTTGTAGGGCAGATATTCTGCTCTGGACCTAGCTCCTCGTTTCAGAACCACAAAGAGACTCCATTCTCTATCTAACTGTGAACTGTATCCTGAAATTTTCCACGAAGTCATAAAGTTAGAAGTCTTGTAGCTAAGGTCACTACAGCTTTGTTTCTGGTTAATTGCTGTTTCTCAAGGAACAGCTGAACAATTGCCACCGTTGGGTGATTCTGTATATGAATGTGTTGTGAGCACATTTCACAATACCAAGTGTTAGAAAGTGCCCTTAAACCTTTAGTATTCATAGGCTACGTCTGGGAGACCCAGAAACAGAAACTTTTATGGTTTCAACAGGCAGTGTTGCTGTTTTTGACTTCTCCTGGCAGTGTACTATGTAATGTGGCCACAGAGCTATCAACATACAGATTATATCTAGTTATAAAATGTCATAAGAAAAAGGAACAAACTGTTGACATAGGCAATGATTTGGATGGAGCTTAAGGCATTGTACTGAGTGAAAAAAGCCAATCTGCAAAGGCTGTGTGATTGATTCGATGTACACAGCATTCTCAAAATGGCAACATTATAGAAATTGAGAAGAGATCCATTTTTCCACGGTCACAACTGGGGGTGGAGGGGATGTGGCTCTAAAGGGGTTGCCTGAGGGAATTTCTCTGGGGTAATAGAACAGTTCTGTGTCCTGATTGTTCTCATGGTCACAAGGATTTTTATGCATGAGAAAACATCATAGAACTCTACACACATCTAGGGAATTTCAGTCCAAACTGAAATTCTACTAAGTAGTTGAATGACTAATGCTGTATCCGTGTCTATTTCCTGGATTAGATCACTGTGTTGTGCTTGTCCTTTGTATGGCTCTACCACATTTTATTGAACCATTCACCCATTGAAGGGCATGTGGGTTGTTTCTAGTTTTTGACTATTATAAATAAAGCTGCTCTGAACACTCATGTACAGCTTTTGCGTGAATCTCTGTTTTCATTTTTTTAGTGTAAATGCCCAGGAGTGCAACTGTTGTTTTCTACATGGTTTTGGAAGAGTTGGACATCTGTAGGCAAAAGGAAAAGAAAACAAGAAAACCAAGGTGTAAACCTCATGTCTTCTGCAAAAATTAATGTTAAATGGATTCATTGGATCATCTTTTTTGTCTTCATTCAAAACCAGTTGGCTTACACTGCAAACAGCATTCCAAAATGAAGATGGGAGGAAACGAGTGAGCATTTAGGTATGAAAATGAATGCAGACTTGGGAAGGTAGGACATGGCTCGAGTCTTGAAGAGAGCATGTGTGCATTTGAGAAGAAGGGGAAAACGTTCCAGAGAATAGCATGAGACAAGACAGGTGGTAGAGAAGATAAGTCCGAACTGGCTGTTTCAGGGAGTCACGTGTGTGATGAGGAGGAGGGAAGGAAAGGAAGGATAAGTGGTTCATGAGGATAGAAAACTGCTGGCTAGGTTGTAGAATTGCTAATGAGTTTCAGTGGAAGTTCTTGAGCAGGAAAAAGCTATTGGAGAAATGGTCTTGAAGGAACGTTGTCTTAGGATCACGTATGGCAGCGATGGGTTGGTAGAAAGAACAAGGTATAACCTTGATCCTTATGTTGATTTAGTGCTTTGTGTTACAGCTGTCTTCCCAAAAGCTAAAAGAGTGGTGTCCCTTCAGGATCTGAAGTACCTTGGCTTTCCTAGAGGGATAATGGTAGATTTCAGATCTTTGTCATGACTTTGGTGATGGACACTGAGGACTCCGCTGGACTTTGAAGCTAGGAACACTGCTTTTAGTAAGTTGTACATGTCAGAAGAAGAGTCCTTTGTTGGCTTATTGCTGATGTGGATGACGTTTCTTCTCTAAACTAAGAGGTAAGCAACTGAAATGAGAAGAACACACAGAGTTCATGAATTGGCCCAACGAGGAAAAGTTAACAGATCGCTTTTCTTTATTTTGATTTAATCAGCATGTGCTGATACTTGTATGTGAAGAACTATACAGAGAATGGTGAGGAACAGTGTCCTTCCAAATCACTGAGGAGCCGACAGGGACACATGGCTCTAATTGCAGCATTCGGGGTTTTATTCTGAGGGAAGCATTTCCAGTCAGTGAGGACATCGTGTACTTCCTGCCAGTGATCCAGAAGATCTTCAAGGATAAAATAGGAACCTACAATAGTATACGAACACTTCGCTTATAGTCAGCGGGATGTGACAAGTGACAGCCCTCGAGCCCTAACTTCTTAATTTGTGACTAAACGTACTCAGTTCCTCTTTTCTTAGAGCCCACTTCATTTCTTGATTTCTTACTTGGAGAAAATTATGCTTTTTTCCAATTCATCTGTGGGAATCCGATTTGGCTTCTGCTTTTTTTTGTGCATTTAGAAGATCTTAGATATATTTTAGGCTTCTGTCCTTTTTTTAAGACCACTACGAAATATAATTTATTTAATGTCAGACAAACTACTACATATCAAAGCATTTCTGCTTCTTTATTTAGAACATGGAAAAGCATAACATCTTGTTTTTCCAAAAAAAAAAACAATGATGACTTGCTGAGCAAAGGATTTTACTGCCTAAGAGATTCCCATGACGCGTGTTAATGAAAGACTGGTGGTGTGGAAACCTTTAGTGCAACCACTTCTTTGTCTTCAAAGTGCCTTTTCTGTTTGATTTGACTTCCTTGGGCTAATTCTTCCCTTTCAGTCTAGAAGTATTTTCCACTGAATGTGGAGATTGATCAAGAATACTTCACTTGCGGGGCTGGCCCCGTGGCCGAGTGGTTAAGTTCGCGCGCTCCGCTGCAGGCGGCCCAGTGTTTCGTCGGTTCGAATCCTGGGCGCGGACATGGCACTGCTCGTCAGACCACGCTGAGGCAGCGTCCCACATACCACAACTAGAGGAACCCACAACGAAGAATGCACAACTATGTACCGGGGGGCTTTGGGGAGAAAAAGGAAAAAACCAAAATCTTAAAAAGAAAAAAAAAGAATACTTCACTTGTGTTTGCTGCCATTCAGTATCATCACAGAATTTGTGGGGTTTTTAGGTGCAGAAGAGCAAGCTCTTACAGTGCTATGCAACCTGCTCTGTTCATTTCAAACTATCATCGTTTGGCTACTGTGCCCTAGTGACTGCTTGACCAACGTGTAAGCGGGGCCACAGCATCCTGACCAATGGGCGTCAGTGTAAGCAGCCTAGAAAGCATGGGTCAGCACTTACTGTCTTTGTGAAGGGCAGGATTACCAGTCAGGGATGTCCAAAAGTCTGCCATACTGAACTTTCATGCTAAAGGGATGTCATTATCTGGCTCAGCTTCTGACTGAGATTCCATGAATATATGAATAGATGAATATTTTGTGTGGCTCTTATAGAAGAAGGCACTTGGGGACAATCCAGATACTGTTCTCTCCTTCATCACAGGATGGCTTCAAATAATCCTTTCCCATTTCTCCTGGCCAGCTAGGTTTGCAGTGAGCAAAAACCTGTTCAGACTTTGTGCCAACACTTCTGGAATATGTGACACTTCATTTGTTTTCTAGAGCACAGAAGTTTGAAAGTAATTTCCTGTTTGTGCTTTCGACAGTGACATATGTCAGTGGAGTCAGGTAGATCTGAGTTGCAGTATTGACTGCTCTGTGACATTAGGGCAACCTGATTTTACCATCCAATCGAGGTTCAATCATACCTGTTTCATGGTAGGGTTGTCAGAATTGACTCTGAGATGTGTACATGAATCACTTGCTATAATGTGTGGCCCACAGTCCGTGTTCAACAAATGTTTGTCATCCTCACCACTTGAGCATCCCTTAAGGTGTTTTTCTCTGGAGAGTGATCTGAAACAAAAAACATTTTTCAACTCATTTCCCACTGATCTCAAAAGCCAGGTATTAGATGTCATCACACTGTCTGGTCTGGTCTACCATGCATGCCTCCAGTGACAGGAAACTCAGCAACTCTAGAACAGTGTTTTTCAACCATGGGAGTAATGACATTTGAGATAGGTCGTTCATTGTGGTGGAGGGTTGTTCTCTGAATTGAATGATGTTTAGCACCAAACTTGGCTAGGGGGACAAAATCATCCACAATTGAGAACCACTGCTCTAGAGACAGCATATCCTCTTTGTTTCTTTTTTTAAAAATGAGGTCATCATGGGTTATAACATCGTGTAATTTCAAGTGTACATGATTGCTTTTCAGTTTCCCTGGAGACTGCATCGTGCTCACCCGCAACAGTCTAATTTTTATCCATCACCATATATATGTGCCCCTTTACACCTTTTGCTCACCCCCTAACCCCATTCCCTTCTGGTACCCATTAATCTGTTCACTTTACCCATCTGTTTATCTTCCACATATGGATGAAACCTTGGGATATTTGTCTTTCTCTGTCTGTCTTATTTTCACTTAATGTCACACCCTCACACTCCATCCATATTGTTTAAAATGGGACAATTTTGTCTTTTTTAATGGCCGAGTAGTATTCTGTTTTATATATGTACCATATCTTCTTTAGCCATTCCTCAGTTGAAGCACAGTGGGTTGCTTCCACATATTGACTATTGTGAAGAATGCTGCAATGAACACAGGGGTGTGCAAATCTCTTTGAGTTGTTGTTTTCCATTTCTTTGAATACGTACCCAGTAGTGGGATAGCTGGATCGTATAGTATTTCAGATTTTAATTTTTCAAGAAATCTCCACCTGTTTTCTATTGTGGCTGCACCAGTTTACATTGCCACTGGCAGTCTAGTAGGGTTCCCTTTTCTCCACATCCTCTCCTACATTTGTTATTTTTTGTCTTCATCATTATAGCCACTCTGACAGGTGTCAAGAGATAGCTCATTGTATTTTTGACTTGCATTTCCCTCATAATTAGCAATGTCGTGCATCTTTTCATGTGCCTGCTGGCCTTCTGTATATCTTCCTTGGAAAAACGTCCTTTCATATCCTCTGCCCATTTTCCAATCTGGATGTTTCTGTTTTGTCGTTGAGTTCTTTTTATTTTTTGGAAATTAACGCCTTGTCACATATATGATTTTCAGATATTTTCTCCCAGTTGTTGGGCTGTTTTTTTGTGTTGTTCATGGTTTCCTTTGCCTTGCAGAAGATTTTTAGTTTGATGTAGTCCCACGTGTTTATTTGTTCTTTCGTTTCCCATGCCTGTGCTGGCATGGTATTCAAAAAGATGTTTCCCAGACCAATGTCAAACAGTGTACTGGAAATGTTTTCTTCTAGGAGTTTTATGATTTCAGCTCTTACCTTCAAGTGTTTAATCCATTTTGAGTTAATTTTTGTGTACAGTGTAAGGTAATGGTCTATTTTCATTCTTTTGCTTGTGGGTGTCCAGTTTTGCCAACACTCTTTTTTGAAAAGACTTTCCTTTCTCCATTGTATGCTCTTGCCTCCTTTCTCAAAGAGTAGCTGTCCACAGATGTGTGGTTTTATGCCTGGGCTTTCAGTTCTGTTCCATGGATTTGGGTGTCTGTTTTTGTGCCAGTACCATGCTGTTCTGATTCCTAGAGCTTTGTAGTATATTTTGAAGTCAGGGATTGTGAAGTCTCCAGCTTCGTTCTTTTTTCTCAGGATTGTTTTGTCTATATAGTCCTTTGTGTGTCTATGATATCCATTGAAATTTCTCCTCTTTCATTTCTAACTTTATTTAAGCCTTCTCTTTCTCTTAGTGTGTCTGGCTGTTTGTTCAATTTTGTTTCTCTTCTTCAAGAACTTGCGCTTAGTTTCATTGATCCTTTCTACTGAGTTTTTAGCCTGTTTTTCATTTATTTCTGCACAAATTTTCATTACTTCTCTCTTTCTGCTGACCTTGGGCTTTGTTTATTCTTTTTTTTCTAGTTCTGGTGGGTGTCATCTTGAGATTTTTCTTGTTTTTCTTGAGTTGGGCCTGTATTGCTATGAATTTCCCTGTTAGAACTACTTTTGCTGCTTTCCATAAGAGTTGGGATGATGTGTTTTCCTGTGCATATTTATCCAGGTTTTAAAAATCCTTTCCTTTGGTTTGTTTAGATCCAATTGTTCTTCACTAGCAAGTTGTTTAGTCTCCACATATTTGTGATTTTCCCAGCTTTTTGTCTTGTAGTTGATTTTTAGTTTCATAGCATTGTGGTCAGAAAAGTGGCTTTTTATTATTTCAGTCTTCTTAAATTTACGGAGGCTTGCCATTTCTCCCAGCATATACTCTATCTTTGAGAACGTTCCATGTGCACTTGAGAAGAATGTGTATTCTGCTGTTTGGGGATGGGATGTTCTAGATATATCTATTAAGTCCATCTGCTCAAGTGGTTCACTTAAATTCACTATTTCCTTGTTGAGTTTCTGTGTGGATGACCTATCTCTTGATGTAAGTGGGGTATTGATGTCCCCTACTATGATTGTGTTGCTGTGAATTTCTCCCTTAAGGTCTGTTCATAGTAGCTTTATGTACATTGGAGCTCTTGCAGTAGGTGTGTATGTATTCACTAATAGTATCTCCTCTTGTCAGAAAATCCCTTTTATCATTGTCTCCTGCTCCTCTTTGTCTCTCCTTGTCTTTTTTATCTTGAAGTCTGCTTTGTCTGATATAAATACGGCAACAATTGCTTACTTTATTTGCCATTGTCTTGGAGTATCGTCTTCCATCCCTTCACACTAAGCATGTGTTTGTCTTTCAGCTGAGATGTGTTTCCTGGAGGCAGCATATTGTTGGGTCTTCTTTTTGAATCCACCCAGCTACTCTGTGTCTTTTGATTGGAGAATTCCATCCATTTACATTTAGAGTTATTATTGGTATTTTAGGGCATAATACTTCAATTTTATCTGTTGTTTTCCAGTTGTTCTATGTGTTCACTGTTTCCCTTCCCTTGTATGTCTGACTGCTACTTCACTTGGGAAGTTTTCTGTGGTGACTTTGTCAGTTTTCTTTTTATTTATGAATTGTGGCTCTGCTCTGATTTTTTGTTTAGTGGTTACTGTTACATTTGTATAAAACATCTCATAGGTGAGATAGTCCATTTTCTGACAACCTCTTTTCTCCATTAGCCTAAGCCGTTTCCATCCCTTTCCTGCACCCTGTCCTGTTTTTCATACACTTTTGTTTCTTAGTAAGTTCTTTCTTGCATTGAGTGGAAGTGTACTTTCTTATTTCTCCTACCCATCCTGTGTTTTGGAGACACATAGTACAGGCTGAATCCCAGTTCCACGGAATATCCTTAGAAATATGCAAAGATGGTCATCAAGTCTTCTCAGTCTTTTTGAGTTGAAACACCTCCAGTTCGTCAGCCATCCCTTACAAAACATGACTTCATGTCAGGTCACCACATTGGTGGTTTCTTTGTTTTTAATTCATTTTTAAGCTGTAGAATTTGGAAGGAAATGCACTACTCTAGGCATGACTTGATTAGCAAAAGACTCATGTCTCATATTAGAGCAATTTTCTTCTATTAGTTTAGGTAAGAGTATTCCCTTTCTTCTTGTGCATACTGTATATGATTACAACTCTATCCTTTTGATGGGCACATCATACAGTGATGACCACATCATACACTGAG